AGGACAAACCCGAATATTCACTATCTAACTCACTTAAGAAAGCAGTGAATTGACGCTGATTTAAACCTCGAGATCTTATAAAATTTATAACTTTTTTTATATATGACAAAACATTCTCCATATTTATTACTTTCGTGCATAGAACTTCTTGATGTATAATACAATGCATATGATGAATGTTTGAACCGTGAATTTCACTAAGTTTTTTTCTTAGTAATGCTACGAAGCCCTTGTTTTTCCCGGTCATTGATGGAGCGCCATCTGTAGCTACAGAATTTAATTTTGCCAAAGGTAGATTGTATTTCTGCAGAAGTCCAAAAACACAAGTAAATATATCTTCTCCTGTGGTAGTACCAGGCATCGGTATTAGTTCCAGTAATTCCTCAAAAATGTTAAAATTCTTGTCACAAGAACGAAGAAACACTGCTAATTGAGCTTTGCCACTAACGTCCATGCTGTCGTCACAGGCAATTGAGAAACTTTCGAAACTAGATGATTTTTCTTTGATCTGATCACTTAAATTCGCGGCTAAATCAGTAACTCTTTCCGCAACTGTATTTCGAGACAATGAAATTGATTGAAAGGCCTTCACATTTCCAGGACAAACAATTTCTCCAGCTTTCATTAGGCATTCCTTGATGAAATCACTGTCAGTAAAAGGCTTCGAATGTTTAGCTATCAACTCGGACAAGACGTAGCTTGCATGTACCGCCGCTTCACTTTCTTGCAAGACTTTACTAAACATGGACTGTTGCTTTTTCACTCCTAACTTGAGCTCTTTCAACTTTTCTTCTCTCATTAATCCTTTGTAATTGTTATATTTCGATTTGTTTTGTTCGTAATAACGTTTAATATTATATAACTTTGGTACATTAATAGTATTATTACATATCAAGCAAATTATTTTATCTTTTATTTCACAGCAAAATATTCTAATTCCCATTTTATTTGGAATATTCTATGTTCGTCAGCGATTTTTCGTTTAATTTTACTACCACTTGGTTTTGATATAGACATACTGAATACTGGGCTGAAAGGGCTGGAATAAACACGGTTAACGTTAAAAAGTTAACAAACATTTATTCTTTCCACAAGAGATAAATAAAAATGCTGAAATATTTCTTCAAAAATATTCTAACAATATCACAAAATGTCAAGCGTTTAGCAAAAATCATTTCAAAACAGAGAAACTAATTCTATCTCACAGCGAAATCGCTACAAATCAATCACAGCATTAAGTAAACAAACAGTTCGCTAGAACTACAGCTACTACTGAGATGAGTTGTTTGTTCTCAGCTTTTATAAGCTTTATAATTAATTTCTCGAATATACTGGAAACATCTATAAATATCTGGATTTTTGTGGATGGCAACAGCAATTACGAGATATTTATTTATTAGGTATTAAATGCACGCTCTGTTCTATTTTTAACCTTCCAATGCAGCTGTCTTTTCAAAAATCTTCTGCGTTGCTAAGGCAACATGAAGCAAATCTAATTACAATTCTAAATAAAAAAACTAAATAAATAAATAACTATGAAATCCATAACAATATGAATTAAGTAATAATTAATAATAAAGCAAAGTGCATGCACATGCATGCACCAATATATCGTACAAAACTATGATTGGAAAACCGAGACCATGAGTTCGGCCACATTCGGCTATCGGAATATGCGTACAAGTTCTGAGTGCACGTGTCCCCCAAAAGCCGAAGGTAGCTGAATGCAAGCTACTCACATGCATTTGTAATTTAAGTAGTGTGTGTGTCAGCTCACTGTGAGTAATCTAACAACACTGAATAAATTATCGTTAATTACTTAGCAGTAAATATTTCATTTTTTTTCTTCGTCGATATGTTATTTTATTATTATATATTATTATTTACTGATATATTGGCCGGGCCGCAAAAATATTTGTTGTGGGCCGCGAGTTTGACATCCTTGGTGTACACTGCATGAAAAAAGGGGGGGCAGTTCTGTATTTTCCATTCTACTGAGCCGTTGATGAAATTCAAATTGTGTTTTTCATGTCTCGAAAGTGCGTCGTAGAATATATATAAGTTAGATTTATATGCGGCATTTTTCTAACATAGGTATTTTGACACAAAATCGGACTTTTTCTGAAATAACATATAAATTGTTTCCCATATTTTGATTCTACAACTCAAATTATACCTAGATATTAAATTTTGTAATTTTTGGTGAGAAATTTTTGGAAAAATTTTAAAATTTATCTTGCCGGATTTTTTTTAGTTTGCACAAAGAATAATTCACTTGGCGGAATTCTAAATTTATAGTAACCTACTTACTTTCCTTATTTTTCATTGATGCACGAGTGGAAGAAAAGTCCATCATTCATTATTTATAATAATTTTAATTAAGTGCTTAATAACTATATGCATATTTTCATTTTATTATTATCACATTTATTAAATATGACAAATTTCAAAATACGCCAAATATTATAAAATACGCCAAATAATTCACTTGGCGGAATTCTAAATTTATAGTAACCTACTTACTTTCCTTATTTTTCATTGATGCACGAGTGGAAGAAAAGTCCATCATTCATTATTTATAATAATTTTAATTAAGTGCTTAATAACTATATGCATATTTTCATTATTATCACATTTATTAAATATGACAAATTTCAAAATACGCCAAAATGTAAATTCATGCATATCTTAGGAAATTTTGAAAATCTAATTTTTTTGTACATATGCTTAGAAATACATCTACTTTAAGATGATGTTAAAAATTTCATAGGTTATAATACAAAAAATTTATAAAAACTATTTAAAAATACAAACTTTAAAATAAATCATAAAAAATGTGCAAATTATATTTGCATTAAGCCTAAATTTTGAATTATGGAAAAGGGAATCGAAGTAAGTTTAATAAAAAAAGAGATATTAATAAATATATATCAAATTCAATTAACATTGAGGAGCTAAAATTTTGAGAGCTAATTTTTAAAAAACTGCTTGTGCGATTTTTACAAAATTTGGCAGTTCGGCAGTTGAGTCGTAGAATCGAAATATGGAAAAAAATTGGCATGTCATTTCAGAAAAGTACGATTTTGTGTCAAAATACCTATATTAAAACAATGCTATATATAAATCTAATGAATATCCTATGTGCTTTCAAGATATGAAAAGCGCAAGTTGAATTTCGTCAATCGGCCAAGTAGAACAGGAGATATAAAACTGTACCCCCTTTTTTTTTTTTCCACAGTGTACATGCTTGTTTTTGTTCGAGAAGTATTTATCTAGAATCCTGGACCACTTCTTACATTTTTTAAGGAAAATGTCTGTATTGAAAGCTATAAAATACCTAAAGTAAATGGAGTTGTACTTCCACTATTAAAATAGCTGTGAAAAAAATAAAGTAATTTCTACACCTATGAGCAATTTAATTGGCAGTTCTGTAAACCATATTGCAAAATATAAGCTTAGAACTGGTACAGTGTTCTCTCAACATAAAAAATTGCTTGACAAAGGAAACATTTTATGATTGCTGTAAGTTTATCTTGTGAAGAATGAATATTTATATTTTTGACTTCAGACCTTAACAAAGCTTTGTGCTTTTTTGTATGCTTCATTTTGCCATCATTCTGTGTTCTTAACACAATTCTGCAGCATAAAATTCTATTAATTCATTAGTGGCCAAGTGGTAAAGTAACTGAGCACTAGTAGTACTAGTAATGTCACTAGTAGTACGGTCCAAGGTTCGATCCCAATGAATGGGATGGCTGCATGGGTGTTTTCATGGGTTTCTTTATGTGTAATATGTATATGAGCCAGCTTCCCTTAGAAAGTCCTCCACAAAGGCATCCCTTCCCTTAGGCAGATTGCCCTTGAGTGGTTTGCCATAATCAAATAAACCAAACCCAATCAAACCATTAATTCAAGTTTTGAAATCAGTGATTAGTTATGTATTTGAAGATATTTTATCAAAATTTGTAAAATCAACCTTTGTTTTGTCTTCTAATTTTATATATCATGTGATTTATGGTAAAACAAAAAATCATAAGTAAGATGAAGATTTGTAATGATAACTGCAACTAACAAAGTAGTGAAAGAACTTTCATAAGACAAAAAAAAAGTTTTATTTCCACGTCAGAAGTTACTTCTGCCAAGTATGTAATTACATACTTCATAAATTTCCAATCAACAATGAAGTAATTTTACTTGCTAAAGTTGCTGTTACTTCTGCTCTAGCAAATGCAGCTTTTTCTGATTTTTTTAAGTATATTTTTTAATACATTTTCAGTTTTACCTCATTTAGTTTTGAAAGACAATGATATTGATATTGCAACTGATATATTGCAGTTTGCAAATTAGAAAACTTTAATAAAGTTATAAAACCTGCAGGGCTTAACACCTAATAGAGTTTAATTGGAAAATGATAAGGTACTGATGGAATTTGAAGCTATGGAATAATTTTGGCCATTCACACGATTTGCCATAGTAATGCAAAATGTGAAAAGATTTTCAAGTATTTTTGTACTATTTGCATCTAAGAATTAGTAACTGAACTTTGAGATGTTAATTAGTTACTGTTTAAAGTTAATTCATTATTGAAAAATAAATTTTCTTTTTAAGTATTTGTATCATTTAAAAAATTTTTGAGAAAATTCTCATGGTTTTTTGAGTGTCATAGAATCGTAAGTATGGGACAGATTTTTTTTTTTTTTTTTTTTTTTTTTTTTTTAATTTCGAATATTTTAAGAAAGTAATAAATATTAGTTATTTTACGCATAAAAACTTACGTGTCCATAATCTGTATGCCATAGTTTTTACTGGACATCAGTGTGCTTCATGTGTTATGTCATTTGTCTCTCATAAAATGATCTGCAAAGGGTATTATTTTAATTATTACAAATATGTAGTCTAAATTGATTAATGACTGTGCTTTTGTGTATGTTAAAAAAAAAAAAAACTCAGTTGTTTGCATCAAATAATTTTGTTCCTTTTCCCCCCTTTTATTGTAGTAGAAAAACCATATAAGATTGATGTGTTTGAAGACTACATCTATATGACAACAACACCTAGCAATGCTGTGGCTCGCATGGATAAATTTGGTCATGGTAACCTAACTTACCTCATCAGAGGTTTAAATAAGGCAAATGACATAGTGCTTGTACAAGAAAACAGACAATCGAATTGTAAGCTTTGTTATTGTTATTGTTATTTTGTATTTTTGGATTTAATACTCTTTCAGGTTAATATTATTATCACTTTGAACACTATAAATCTATCTGCTCCTGCATTATAAATGCTTATACAGCATTTTATTAGATTTGTGTATTGGTGCTTTATTTAATAGCCATTAGCCTTGCATCTGTACAAGAACCAGAAGTGGTAGCATTTCATATGGAAGCACCTAATAAGTGGCCAATGTTGCCAATGAAGGGACAGACAGTTACAACCATGCCTTCTCCGGGACTCTTGCCTTGCATCTCTACAAGGACCAGAAGTGGTAGCATTTCATATGGAAGCACCTAATAAATGGCCAATGTTGCCAATGAAGGGACAGACAGTTACAACCATGCCTTCTCCGGGATTCAAACCCGGGGCCATCGTTACAGCAGTCAGGGTCACTGACCACTACCGGCTGAGTGGCCTTTGTGTAATTATTTACATTACTCTTTTGATATGCACCACATTATTAGGATGGATTCTAGATTAAGAAAATGAGAGATCAAAATATACTGCTTCACAGAAAATATGCAACTCCGTGGAGAAAATGCTTCAAATAAGATAAATCGTGACATTCAGGAAGAGGAGAAGTATTGTTTTAATTTCAAATAATTATTCATGCATTGACTGAATATACAGGAGTTTAAGTAGTATGGTGATCATTTTGCATATTTGTGTTACCATTTATGGTAAGTTAGTTAATGATATAGTATTAATAATTAACTGGCCATTTGTTCTTTACTGTTATTTTATCGATTTAAACCAACTGTCGATGCTGATGGCATTCCTAAACCCTGACTCTATGGTGGTAAGTTGTGTGATGCTCGAGGATTAGCCTGATTGTCACATCCCCTCTATATTATCCTTTGGGATCATCCTTGCTGAAATAGACTGTAAATAAATATGGTACCATCAGCTTAAATAGCTCTAGTGCAACATCACTGAAGTATATAGGATAATAATTTTATGTTAGTGGCAGTCTTCAACAAAAACGACTTGATTGCAAACCTACTTCAACTAGTCATTGAAAATTTTCTGCAGAAAATTTAGAGCATTGTACTATCTTAATATATTTTCACAGAATGCTGCCAGCTGTATATTAAGAGGCAGCTGCTGCATGATATCAGAGGAAACAATTTTTACATCATGATTTTTATCTTTTTGCTCCAGTTTCAGTTCTTTGATGCATAAATGCAAGCCATTTTCCCTAGAGAGTCCTCTGCAAAAGCATCCCTCCTCTTAAGCAGATAGCCCTCATAAACTTTGCCATATTCAGTTTACCTAATCTGAGTCCAGTAAGTCATATCTATTATGAGATTTGACCCATGATTAATTAAATCACACTGAATTTTTGCCACATTAGGATGTAAATACCAACAAGCTATTCATATCTATCAATAAATTTCTATGAAACTCATCAGATCAACAAAATTATTATGAATGTCATCTCAAAATCATTTTTTTCTTAAATTTTATCCTGGTGCAGAAAATAGTGAGAGTAAACCGTTTTCATATCCATTTGAAAGTCTTAAAAATTAACAAACCAGCTTCTCCTTTCCAATCGTACTAATAAACTTATCTTCCAAAAAGTTAAAAACATTTATTTGCTGTGAATTTTGCTCTTTTAATATCTTTTCTACTTCCAATGAAACAAAACTTCTATTATATTTATTTTTCTTCTAAAATTTGGTAATAATAGTATACTGCTAAAATTAATGATGAAAAATCTTATGTGTTTTGTTTTGTCACTACTTTTTGACATCTCCAAAATAATCTAAGATACAGAATGATGCTTCACATGTATTTCTCTGTATTCACTTATATATATTTTTAATTACCTACTTTGCTCTATTATTCTGTAAAAAATGGGAAAATTTTATGCATAAATCTAAAATTAATGCTGTTGTAAAACTTCCTGGATGTTCTTGTGATAGATATAAAAATGGCAAAAATTATTTAAGAGCATTTTTCTAATTATCTGAACAAGCCTTTAATTCAGAATTTATCAATAATAAAAGACAACCAGTTAATTTACACCAGCAGTGTGAGTTTTAGTTTGATAGTTTTGATAGTCTCCCGAAGTTGTCTTGGATAAGCTGATTTTTAGCTATTCCATTTTAAAAAGAAAAGTTTTTTTAACTAGAGAAAGTAAATCGAAAATTCCATGTCATGTTATGTCTTAGTGTGTGCATTTAAGAATGCAGGCATGTGAATTTTTATCCAAAGAGTAAAACAAAAGTTATGTCACTAACTTTAAAAACTTATTACCTTAATTATTGCAGGGATGAAAAAGAAACATTTCATGTCTTTTAAAATATTTATTCTTCATACAACTTTACAGTAGTATTTTTTATTGAATATATTATTTATTGAATATACCTTAATTATTGCAGGGATGAAAAAGAAACATTTCATGTCTTTTAAAATATTTATTCTTCATACAACTTTACAGTAGTATTTTTTATTGAATATATTTTGGTATTTAATATTTTCATGTACAATCTCGATTTAAATAGCAATAGATTGCCTGCTTGATGTTTCATTGGAAATCTGATGTAAAATAAATATGAGCCAAGAGTTTGCCCCCTTTCTTCATTGGTAAATGTTTTCCTTTTAAAGTATTTATTATGCAGATGCAAGTACTTTAGAACTTTCCCATATTCATTGGAAATCTGATGTAAAATAAATATGAGCCAAGAGTTTGCCCCCTTTCTTCATTGGTAAATGTTTTCCTTTTAAAGTATTTATTATGCAGATGCAAGTACTTTAGAACTTTCCCATAGGGAATGTGACAATCAAAAATATTTGGCCTATCTATATTTGGATATCTAAAACTTTTTTTTAAATATTGGTAAGATGTAATTAACAGCCTTTTTGGGGGGGGGCAAGTCTTTAGGAAGAATTAACAAATCCAAATGTTTTATAGGCCCAAATGAAACAAAATATTTGCGTCGTGTGTAAATAAATCTGATCAGAAGGTAACCCAAATTTTATCGAAATTATAAATGAATGAGGAAAAAAAATTATATAATGCTTAGTAGTCTAAAATTAATATTACTTATATTGTTATTGCTAATTTATGATATTAATAATTCAATATATACATTAACTTTTTTATTTTTCTTATTTAATTCATATAATTGTATATAATTATATATATATTATCTATAGTCAAACAATTAGTTGTAAAACATCGAGTGGATATTACTTATTAATTCTATTCTTGATTCTGTTTCTAGTAGAGTTATCGTAAGCTTTCTGCTTAGGTATTTTCATCGTTTTCATTCATGTAGTAGTAGTCCTTTTTCTTTACGTTCAAAAATTTGCATTCCCACTTGCCTCTACACAGAACTTAAAAGGTGAAAAGTCCTATGCTATATAATCTCACCTGTAGAAGCGAGGATTGTGTGTCATCTTGATGTGGCTATCTGGGGTATGCGTCTTCCTAGTTATTGAATTGCCCATTAGCTGTGTTTCTCTTGAGTGTGGTGTAATAATGTGATGCTTGGACTGGAGCTGTCGAAGACAAGAATGGGAGTCCAACTGAGTTTTAGATTCATGTCTCAGACAGTGTCAAGATGTCACTCTGTTTTCCATATTATGCTCTTTCTCATATGTCATAAGTTGGCATGCTCTGTTCATCTGATGTGTCAAGTTCAAGAAAAGCTACCAATTAAAAACCTTTTGTGTAACTTACATCCAGTGTGCTACTTTAATAGGCTAACACGTTTCATACTAGAAAAGCATTCTCAACGTTGCCCCCCCCCAAAAAAAAATATTTCAGAAGTAATACTTGAGAAAGATTCTTTCAAGATATATAATTCATATGTGCTTTTTATAGGACATTACTTGCTGATGTAATGAAGCTTACTTAACTTCATTTTTGGTTACCCACTTTATTGTATGCTATGGGTGTTTATGTAATAACTAATTTCTTTTCATTTGATGTTTCCTGGTATGTAAAACTTCGAATTTATTGTGATTTCTAACTTCCCTTTTATTATTGTTATTATTTTTCTTCCAAAATGCCTTTCTTACAGCTTTCATTATTATTTTGGAAGAAGAATTTTTCTGTATTTTTTAGAAGACTTTCTGTTCTGAAATACCAGATGCGCAATCTTCATATAGAATCATTTTGTAATCTATTTCCAGCAGTTTGCCAAAAAGTTTTCAAATATTTTTAAATGATACAATAATTCTGAGATACTTTTCAAAAGATACAAAAAAAGTATTCTTCTGCCTCTTTCAACTTGTTATCAAGCCTAAAATTAGTTTAGTTATTGCATTTCAATCAATAAAAGTATTTTACTTTATCTAATTTTAAATCTGAATCATTGCTTCTTTCTCTTTTATTGGCAATTCAAGGTTTTTGTTGCTCTGTTTAATAGTAAAATGAGCTTATTAAACAGCATCAATCAATAGAAATTTAATTTTAGTCAATGCATCTATTCCTGTATTTTTCTTGTGTGAATAACTGTATACAAAATGTTTGTTTCTAAGCAAGTTTTAAATTAATATTAAAAAAAACTATTAATCTTTATATAATGTTTTGCAACTTGAAGTTAAATTTTTTAATTCTTTACCATTCATACTTGTTTTAACAAAAAAATATTGGTTATAAAGATGGGATTTTACACTAAATTTTGCAATAGCTGTGGTTTAACCAAATTTTATGTTAATTTTTTTAATTGAATATTGAAACATAATTCTTTTCTCTCCAGTTACCTCACCATGTGTGACTGATAATTTTTGTGGAATTGATGCCCTTTGCATTGCTAAAAATCAAACTTATGCCATTTGTCTGTGTTCTGAAACAGTGGATCAATCAAATGGAGATGAAAATCCAGAATGTATTGTTCCTGTTCCAAAACCATCTTCTTCATCTGGTACGTTTTCAGTTAATTAGTATTTTATTTTTCAATTCAACTGTTAGTAAATTCTTAATTTTTAGTAATGATTTATGGTTGTGAGGTTATTTCAGTAAGTCTCATGTATATTAGTAATAAAAATAAGCATTTTTTTAACTGTATGATGCTCTATCTATATTTTTTCATTCAGTTACATTTTAACTGATTATGATGCTATCTGTACTTTTTTATTCAGTTACATTTTAACTCACTTTCCATAACCAGAATATCTGAAATATTCCTTTACAGTTATAATTTTAATAAAGCCAACTTGATAATAATCAGATTAAAACCCTCTGAGGAGTCCGAGTTTTTGGATCTGTCATGAAGACCTGTATTTAAAGAACCTTTATTAGCTAAATATGTATATTTGCCTATTTTAGTCTCTATTTTCATAAACTTACATTCATCAAGATGGCATTTTATTATTAATGAAAGTAAGAAAGCAAAATATCTTAAATTATAAGCTAATATATAACAAGTGGCAAAAAATTTCATGATCGTATAAAGCCGGTCATGGCACTCGAAGGTTTTAATGCATTAATTACTAAGTATGCATATTGTTTGAAATACACAAGAGCAGCAGAACTTTTATTATAAAAAATTTCACTAAAGATCTATAAAAAAACATGATATCTTACAGCATGTAATCAAATTATCATTTGATTATAATATTTGTGTGTCAGTTTTGTAGAAACTTTATTCCCCCTCCCCCGTGGTAGACTTGTAAATTGGTTATATAAATAAAGTGTTTGTGCTATTGCTTAGGTGTATCCTCAATGTTATTATGTTATTTTATATTTTCCATTCCAGAACCATTTTGCAGGCTAACATGCTTCAATGGCGGCACATGTTCTTTGGATGAAAATAATGAACCATCTTGCAGGTAAATTTTACTTGCAGTTAAGATTTTCAAATATGTATATTTTTCATATTGAATTTGAAGCTGGCTGTATCAAAGCTATCAATAGTAATATTTTAAATGGGTTCTATTTAGTTCTGTGTCTAATTAGATATTAGTTATGACTAAATTTAAAGAATGACTGTTACCCAGCTATCTCAGATTATTTATTTTCTGATGGTAAGTTTTAAAAGAAATATTACAAATTAAGGATTAAATAAAGAATATACTTGAAATGAAACTCCATTAAAAAAAAAAAAAAAAAAAAAAGGATGGAGGTTGAACAGTAAGGTGACAAAAAGGAATTATGGAATTATATTTTACACACACACACACACACACACAAAAACAAAAACAAAAAAAAAAAAAAGAGAGAGAGAGAGGGAGAAAGAAAGGGGGGAAAGTTAATTTTTTATGCAAAACTTGATCATTTTATGATTGCTTTTGAAACTTTAAGTAGTGCCTTAACAAAACCACTCATTTTTTTAAATCTTTTCTTTCGTGAATTTCATTAAAAAATAGTCATAGACTTTCATAAAATTACTAGAAACTTCTTATAAAATTAAGTTCTTATTAAGATAAGAAAAAAAAAAGAAATATATAGGTTAGAAATTGGTTTTAAATTTTCATATTTAGTATAAACTAAATTTGTTTTTGTTAAATTTTGCTTTATAAATAGTGATTATGAACTAAATTACATTTAGAAACCTAAAATATATGTTTTATTTTAAATTTCAAATCAAAGTTTTGAAAGATGATAATAAAGTTTAAAATCAAAGGAGGAGAAATCTTAGATCAATTTAGCTTTTGAATAAACCTTTACTGATTTTGAGGGCAATCAGATTTATGTCTCTTCTTCAGAAGTAACAACTTTTTAATGAAATCAATGAATTTAGCAAAGAAAAAGCAAACATAGGGACATTTGTCAAAGGAAGCAGTAACTGAAAACTCTAAGATACTAAAATTTTTAAATTGCTGGGAAGAATTGGACTGGAAATAGTATCAATAACTGAAGACGCTATAGTTTTCTGAAACGTTTCTAGGAATTTTGATTGCCAGCTGAAGTAGCTTCATTTTTAATTTTGCAGAACCAAAGTCAAAATTGTTAAAGTGACCAGTTATGATTGGCTATTAAAGATTTGTTTATTTCTTTGTTTGGAGCATAGAAATTATATCCATTTTTAATTTAATTTAATTAATTTTTTTAAGTTTGGCTGATATATGTCATTCCACACTGACAGGATATGCTATAATTACTCAAAAACTAAAATGAGAAAGGATATTTTTAAGCATCAAACAACTAGTTTTATTGACAACTGAAGAAATGATGGATGGATGAACTTATGGGGAATTCAAGCAATTTTTAACTGGTAAAAGGATAAAATGAGATGGCAACAAGGTTATTGTGATTACTTCTAATAGTAAAATGTGTTTTATGATTTCAAGAGGAGAAATTTTGTAAAGCTTTTAGTAATAACCACAAGAGAAAATCTTCTGTGAGTGGTAACTGATTGTAAATAAAGGAGTTGCTAAGATGATGTGCTGATGAACAATTCTTTAAAGCATGGCACAGTACAAAGTCTCTAATCCAGACCTCAAAGCTACAAACTTTATGCGCATGTTAGGAGTCAGTTGAGTTTAGAATTTTGTTTTTGAATGTAATGAACAGGAAATTTGCATTCTAAGCAAGCAGTAGTTAAGTGGTGTATTTTTTGATTATTTCATTTTTGAACTGCGTCATGGACGCAGAGAGTGACGATCGTGTAGCTAGGAAGCTAGGAGCTCCGGAGCGACTTTGTTGGCAACACTAATTCAGCGCCACCAGTAGGCAATCCTCAGCTTCTACAAACTGCAACTACTATCACTGATATGGACACTTCTGCACCTCAGCAAACTCCTACTTCCAAGGAATTCTCGAGAAATGCTATTCAACTCTATGCTCTGAAAAATCAACATACTGATCTGATGATTGACATTCAACGACTGACGAGATCTGAGAATCCAAACAAGGAGGCCATGCTCAAGCAACTGAACCAAAAGGGTGAAAAAATTTTCTTTTCTTTGCAAACCTTATGTACAAGCCTTGGCATGAATATAATTGACCTTCCTGCCACTGAGGAGGAGTTCCTCAAACTTTGCACACATCCCCAGACCAAAAACTCTGCATCTCAAAATTCAGAAATTTCTAATAACACACCTCAACCTAATCCTGCAAAAGATATTAAAAAATCTGACTCTAAAAAACGCACTTGCCCAGTTGATTCAGACGTGTTTTCTATCCCACCCAAACATCTTATTGCCAAAAAAAACACAGTCTAATAAACCAAATTAATGACAGTAACAACCTACCTAGCACTTCTAACTCATTTAATAGTATTCAGCACACCACAGAAAACTTAGAAAACCCACACAGCAGCTGGCTGTCATTCAAAGCCAAAAATTCAAGCTCCGCCATCCATATTTATCAAACGAAGAGCTGATGGGTATTTTCTTTTAACCCAGCTCAGAAGACACGCTACTTCTGTCCAATCAAAACAGGACATTGATTTCTTAAGACTTACCACTGCTAATGAAGAAGATTATAGAATAGTTGTTAGATTTCTATTCAAATCACATACTCTCAAGTCAGAAAGACCACTGAAAATTGTTATCAGAGGACTTCCCTCTAACACACCTATCAATGTTGTACAGGCTGCGATTGAAGTACTTGGTTTTAAGATACATAAAATCTCCCAGCTCAAGAGATGACAAACCAAGATGCCGATGGCACTGTTTTATCTACAGATATGCAACAGCCTCAAGGCCGACGAAATCTACAACGTGACTGAGCCACTAGGCACCGAGGTTGCTATCGAACACTTCAAGGGACAGAAGGGACCATCCCAGTGCTGCCATTGCCAGGGATTTTTTCATTCCTCAGAGGTCTGTACTCTACCCAGATGCTGCGTTCGATATGCAGGACCCCACCAAGCGAAAGATTGCACAAAACCTTACGATGAGCCTATGAAGTGCGCCAACTGCCTTGGACAGCATGCAGCAAACTGGCAATTCTGTCTTAAATTTCCTGGATCTAAAAAAAATTCTGCATCTAAACCAAGTACCAAGCCCAGTCTGACTATTGAACAAGCACAAAACATTAATAATCATAAAGCATTTCCTACACTGCCAGCTGCACCCACACCCAGTACAAATTATATTTGCCCTGGAGTTTCATTCTCCTCTGTCCTTACGGGTATGCAACAGGCTGCACCCCATTATATTCCAAATTACTCAGTCCCTCAAGGAGCAAATTCGGCCCTAAATTGTACTGAAATTCCTTATGGCTGTAATCCAAATTTCTAATCAACCTGGAATTGACCAAAATAGATTAATGTTAGCGTTTAAAAATGCTCTACCTCAGCTCAGAGTGGCTCCATCTGATACTGATGCTGCTTACTACATCTTTGAGAGCTATATTACACTCAAATTTTCTGAAAATCCCCAACATTAAAATTCAATACTTAGAAAGGGTTGAAACAACTACAATTATGCACCTGGAATGCAAATGGCATCTCAAACAAATTCCATGAGTTCAGAGATTATGTTGAAGAGAAAGGTTATGACATAATTTTTGTCCAAGAGACCAAACTCCCGCCAGAGAGAGCTCCTAATCTTGCAAAGGCTGCTGATACTCGTGATAGATTTCGTGGTGGCACATGTGTCTATATCAAAAATAATATACCACATATTGATTTGGCACTATTTCGAAACATTCCTTTTGCATACTGCGTGACTGTGGAAAACTGTTTATCCTCAGATCACAACCCCATGATCATCGACCTTAGCTGTAATCTTATTAATCCAAATTCTCCAGCATTCGTCTATACAAATTGGAACAATTTCAGATTTAAACTTAAAAATAAAATTCTACCCTCCTTTGAAATAAAATCCAGCCATGACATAGAAACGTCAGTTTATCAATTAACATCCACTTTAACTGGTACTTATAAAGAAGTATCAAAACCCACCCTTAGACCCAATTTTCGTAAACTTCCTCCTGAAATTAAATCCAAAATTAAAGAAAAGAATAAAGTACGGAAGACTTTGGCAAAGAAATAGGAATCCTGGATTTAAAAATTCAACTCCGTACTCTCCAAAATGAGATCAAGGCATCATGTGACCAATTCTTCCAATCACAATACACGAATTACATTCAGTCCCTAACGACCAATGATAACAGTCTTTGGCGCGCATCAGCCCGCCTACGCAAACACAAATCTAACATTCCGTCCTTAGCTACGGACGCAGTGGTGGCTCACACAGACGCTGAGAAATCCGAATTAATTGCGGATTCTCTTCAAATCCAATTTACACCACATAATGAAGGAATTTTTGCGAACAGCGCAAGTTCTTTCCCACAAGATGTTGAACGTTTCCTCTCCTCGCCTTTCGCGAGAGAAATACAGTACACATCCATGAGCGAGGTAAGTGAATACATTACCAAGCTCAAACCCAAAAAAGCCCCTGGATATGGACTCTATCTCTAATCGTATGATTAAAAATTTACCCACCAATTATCTATTTTTCTTAGTAATGCTTATAAATTTTATGATACAGCATTGCTATTTTCCTCAAAGCTGGAAACAAGCACTTATTGTGCCTATTCCAAAACCAGGCCAAAGCCTTTCTAATCCTCAAAATTATAGACCTATCAGCCTCCTATCCTCGTTATCTAAGATATACGAGTTTGTGTTACTTAAACGCCTGAATGATTTTCTCCGAAATCACAACGTTCTGATTGATGAACAATTTGGATTTCGAGCAAAACACTGCACCACGCACCAGCTGCTGAGGACAGTGGAGTTCATTCACGAAGGGTTTCGTAACAAAATGCTTACTGGCGCTTTGCACACTATTTCTTGACATAGCCAAAGCATTTGATAGGACTTGGCATATAGGAATTATTATCAAGCTCATACGACTTGACGTTCGGCCCATTTAATTCATATAATTAATTCGTACCTCACTAATAGATCTTTTTCTGTACGAGTTAATTCTATCATTTCGGCACCCCGTCCAATTCTAAGCGGCGTCCCCCAAGGGTCAGTCTCCTAGGACCGACTTTGTTCAACATATTTATAAATGACATACCATGGAAAATCAAAATTAATGTTGCTAAATGTGCAGGTGGTATCTTGAAACGAGGCCCCCTCCCATACCCTACCATTAATTTAAGGTTTTTCAACGACTATATTCCCTGGTTAAACTCTTACAAGTATCCTAGGAGTGTTACTTGATTCAAAATTACTCTTGCACCTCCATATTGATCATACTTTGAAAAAAGTAAAGGCTGCCAGATCCCAACTTTACCACCTTTTAGCTCCAAAGAGTCATCTGTCAGTCAAAAACAAAATCCTTCTATATACCTCTGTTATAAGACCCATATTTTTGTATGCTTGTACTATTTGGGGTACGGCTGCAAAGACATGTGAAAAAATTTCAATCTTTTCAGAGTAAAACACTATGAATGGCCCTAAACGCAGCCTGGTACGTCCGTACAGATGTAATTCATTCGGACTTAAACATTAAACCTGTGGGTTATGTCATTAAAAAACTTAGTCAAAATTTATTCATCAAAATTGAGCAGACTGATAACTGAGCATTGCAACAACTACCAGCATATGATCCAGTGATTCCCAGCTCACAGAAGAAACCAACAGCCATCATTGGTCGGGACTACGGCATCTACCCACCACCTAAAAAGCATAGACATGCCCCTACAACACCAGTTCTTGACGCCGCGCTGTGAAGAAAGGTCGTCTCCTCAATGAGCTGCGATATAATTGCTTTCATTTACTAAAGATATACCAACATCTTTTCTGCAACCTGAGAAGTGGTCATTTTGCAAGGTTATCATTCTGTTCACTATAGAATCACATCTCCCGCAGAAACTAATTCTGCCTTGAATATTTTCTCGTGATAATTTTATTATTTGCACTTTCATTTAATGCCACATGCCAATGAGCCTATTAATTGTAAAATCTTTCCTCTCCGCTATTTGCTTTAGTGTTGTATTGTGTATAAAAAAATATAAAATACCAAAAAAATTTTTAAAAATTAAAAATACAAGAAAATGATTAAAAATCTAAAAACTTAAAAAAAAATTATGTATTCTTAAGTTTTATAAATTCTTGCTATCCCTAACCTTTCTCGAGCCATCTGGCTCCCTCTAGTGAGCATCAAGTTAAATATTTATGCAATTTTCCTATTTCTGCTTGCTTTTATTTAATTCTGAGGAGGAGGTACATGGTTTTGAACCATAGGCACTCCGTAACTTTTAATCATTGGCATTTGCTGGCATTTCAGTTAATGTTGCAGATTGCATATGCATTTACGCATGTGCATAATGCGTTTACACGTGCACGTTTAATGTATAACGTATGGTATAAGCTAGGCTAAAATTATCTAAGGCATTTCAGTTAATGTTGCAGATTGTGCTGTTCCTTAATCTTCTAATTGGATCCGGCTTATTATTTTTGGCAGATTGTTAGAGCAATTTTATAAAAAGTAGGCTTGAACTTTCGATTATGTCGAAAAGAATTTCAAATTCTGGAGCTACCAAAGGATCTACAAAGCGAAAGCATGTTTCGATGTCCATCAAACAAAAAGTGGAATTACTACAAAAAATGGATAGAGGCATATCCGTCTCAAAATTATGCGAGGAGTATGACATTGGAAAGTCAACCGTATATGACATAAGCAAAAAGAAGAAGGAATTTTTTTAATATTTTGTGGATTCCGACACCCCACTCGCAATGACTAACAGAAAAAGGGTTCGTTATGCTAAAAGTGACTATCATGACAAAGTCATGAATGTTTAATAAAGTAAACAAATAAATATTAAGTTTTTTTTTTTTTTTTTTTTTTTTTTTTGTAAATTTTGATACTCTTTAGATCATAATTACTCTTTATTTCATAAATTACGGTTTCATATTTTTAATTGTATAATTTCTGCATGCCATCTTACCAGATTTAAATTGATGATCTATAATTCAGAAAACCCCTAATCCGGAATCGCTGAAGTCCCGAGGAGTCCGGATTACGGACTTTGTATTGTACATGAGATTTTTAAAGAAAATCTACTTCCGTTTCTTTCTGCTCCTTTTTTTTTTTTTTTTTTTTTTTTTTTTTTTTTTTGTTTGGCACTGTTGTTGCTTAGCAATGTGGTATGATTTCACATGAAGAAGTGAGCAAACAGAAAACCCTTACAGTGAACAATAGGGTTGAACTAAAATTAATTCTGTATAATATTAGAATATCAAGGAAAGAAAAAGATTGTCTAATTCAGTTTAAAAAATGAACTGAATGATCAGATCAATCCGATTCATCATAGATAAGATCTTGGTTATATCTTTTTTATTGCTACGTAATGCCATGAATGGTCATTGACATAGTGAATTCAGAAAGTAAAAAGACAGTTTTTCAAATAAGTTTTAAAAAAGGGTAATAAAGTTACTATCATCATTGTGCAATTTTAATGCATGCATTTTAAATGAGTTATGTACTTTTTTTTCCCCCATCTTCAGCTGTAAACCTGAATATGATGGTTCTCAGTGTGAGAATTCAAGATGTGCAAATATCTGTAAAAATGAAGGTGTATGCTATGCAGATATGTCCAAAAATAATGCTCATTATCTGAAGCCTGATCTAAAGTGCAAGTAAGCTATCTTGCTGTCTTATAGTCAAACTTTTCATTGTATATTTTTTTCATATCTTAAATATGGGAAGAGTGTCGAATAAAAATAAGACACATTTAAGTTTTTTTTTTATTATTATTTTTTATTTTTTTAGTTCAAAGAAGCATTAGCTCAGAAGGGGTATTAATTTTGTTTTGGCATTTTATGTCGATTCACTATAAACAGTGAATCACTTTTTAAATTCTTGCCACCAAATATTATTGCTCTGTATTATATTTAAAGAAATTAAATGATGGAAATGTATGTATGTTTCTTGCATTGTGATAAAACAACCGTACCTAGAGCCATGAAATTTTGAATAACGTACGTCTCCACCTGAATATAGGCATTTCGAAGCCCGAATTTGGAATTTGTTTTATTATCTATTTCATATTTTGTAAAACATTTGTGATTTTTTGATTAAGAAACTCAAGGATTTCAAAGCAAGTAATGGCAACACTGTACGGGGTAAAAAACATTTTTATCTCCAACCCGCGAGACTGTGTATCGGAAATTCTAAAAAATAAAATATTTTGTGATATTTGCTATTGGATTGAATTTTATGGTTTAAGTGCGAAGAACGTGATATTTAATAAATAAAGGTAACACACAAAACATTAAAACAATACCCCTTCAGGCATAATATAAATTCTGAAAGCTTTCAGACTTTTTTAATGGGTATTATTTTTTCTCTTTATTTTTTTCCAAATTAATATTGCTATTCATTTAAAATTAAAATTTACATCAGAATGTTATTTAGTTCTTTTTGGATGTAGATATTTAAATTCCAGTATAAACTCCTTTTTGGCTTATTGTCCTATCTTATGAAAATTTACCCTGGCTGTTTTCATGCCCAGTAAAACTTTTTTTTAGAGGCTGACTTTAATAATTGAAAATACATTCTCTAATTGTGTCAGATGTTTAGATTCCCTTTCCCCCAGGAAGTCTGAGATCTGGACTTGACAGGACTTCGGCAATCGCGGATTTGGGGTTTTTCCAGAATTTTAGATTATCAATTTAAATCTACTAAGACAGCATGTAGAAATGATAAAATTAAAAATATTAAATTGTGATTTATGAAATAATGAAGCATTTATGATCTAAAGAGTGTCGATATTTACGAAAAAAAAGGGCTTAATGTTTATTTGTTTACTTTATTAAACATTTCTTTCAATGTAAGTTGTTTAAGTTGCTTAGTTTTTTATGCTAGTACTTTCTCTTTAATTCTGTAGACAGATCTAAATTTTTGTTCAGTTACGGGGTTCCACTGTACAAGTCTTGTAAATGCTGTGTCGAGAATTCCGACTAACTTGTCAATTGAAAATTTTTCATTTTCAATATCTTCTGTGTCACTTTCTTCATTATCAGTAGCGGTATTTTACGGATCTAGAAGCATGCTGCAGATTTAGCCATCTGTTAATTGATTGATAATTGGGGTATATTCATCGCAATGAAAAACTTCTGTTATATCATCTTCATTTATTACCGCTTCTCCGCATTTATTTACAAAATCCATTAATTGGAAAATTTAACCCTTAGTTTGCGACATCCCAAAATCTTCAAAATCCGCAGCTATCATCTTCATCAACCTCACTGTGAAATAGTAAATAGTACCAAAATCAATAGTAAATAAGCCCGAAGCATATTAAAATCATGTCTTATTTGCAGATGAAAGAAAATTTAACATTTTGATTCCAATGGCGTATAATTATATGGAGAACAAAAAATGAGGAGCTTAATTCCAAGACCTTGTTTGGTACAGTAAAGCATGACAGTAGAGGTGTTGTCAAGGGTACTTGTGTGAGGGTGCATTTCAGCAGCAGGAGTAAATAATTTAGTGTTTACTGACGGCACAATGAACCTGCTTTTTATCTAAATATTTTAAAAGTTAATTTAAAATTATCTGCCCAAAATTTGGATACTGGAAACAACTTTGTTTTTTATCAGGATAACAATTCTAAGCACACTGCCCTCAACAATCACTTTTTGGGTATCTGTAATTGTCCACGTGTTTTGAAAACACCACCTCATTCACCAGATTTAAACCAACAAAAGATATCTGGAGAGAATGGATGTCAGAGTACAAAGACATAACATTAAAACAAAAAACGAACTAAACAGTAATGATGGAAGAATGGAGGAATATTGATTCAGATATTACAAAGAGGTGGTGAACTTAAAGCTCAGATGTTTGAAAGCTGTCGTATGTATTACAAAATATTAACTGATGGAAATACTACAATGTTTACTAATATGTGCAGATTTCTTTAAAGCATACGAAGACTTTTGTGAGGTAACTTTTCTGTTACCTTTTTTATTATTGATTTTCCAAAAAAAGTTTTAATATGTTCATAAAATAATTAATTAGTTTCGCTAAGAGAAATTTTTAGATATTATTAAAAAATTTTCATTCTAAAATATTAATTTTTATTAATAAATAAGGCAATATTTCACTGAAACTCATAAGTGTCCGAACACTTTTGTGAGCCACTGTATGTTCAATATACTTTCAATTACAAAAGGGTTTTAAATAAGAAAAATATTAACATTATGGCATTTTTATATTCAAAAATTCAATTTCATGAAAGTAATGGAATCATAACTTTTATACTTTTTTCTGGTCCGCATAGTTAAACTTAATGAAAGTTTATACTTATTTTGTAAAATAAAACAAAATGTTTGACTCCCATTGAACAAAGCTGGCAAACATATTTAATTTCATAATTTGACATAATGTTTCCTGAAAATTGAGGGATCATACACAAATTGAAGAATGAAACATTTAAATTAATGTATAATTAAAAATCCGAAATTTTGAATGAAATATCTCAAAGTTTGTCATACAGGACTTCAACCTTTAAAAAAAAATGGGGTAGAGGGACAATGAGAACAAGCATTCACTTTTACTTAGTATATGGAGCTACAAAATGTTCTATTTTATAATGTTTATAAGAATTTACTTTTTAAATTAAAAATTACTATAATAGGAATATTTGCATCATTTAAAACATATTCATCATTAATTTTAAGTGCATGACTGCAGCCAAAAATTCCAAAAATAAAACTGCATAATGACTTTTATGGCAAAACTGTATCTATCTATATATAAATATGTGTGGGTATGTGCACACTGATGTGCATGTTCACTGTGTATTAAAAAAGTTTCTTGTTTACTTTCTCATTTCGATATGCAACCAAAAGAATTTGCTGTCCAGATAGTATAGTGGTTAGGAATGCCTGACTGCAATACCTAAGGGCCTGGGTTTGAATCTCGGAGAAAGCATGGATGTAAAATTGTCTGTCCCTTCATAGGATGTAACGGTGTCGGCCTATTAGGTGCCTGTGCCTCTACAATACCCAATACAATGGCCACCACTTCTGGCCTTAGAAGTGACCGATACCATTATAGGCAAGTGCCTGCCATTGGGGACAGCATAATATGCCAACAATCTGAAAACTAAATGTGTAAAAGCTACGAGGGCTGTAAATTAAGTAATGGCAACATAGGTAAAAATCAATTTTAATGAGCTTACAAGTACAATTGCATTACATTCCTTCTATGTAATCACTGGCGAAGTTTATAACATTTTGCGAAATGTCAGGAAGCCATTGTAGACCAGTGACAAGGTGTTGATTGTTGATGTGAGCGACCGAGCCTCCTACTGCGAGGAGCACAGATGAAACATCATGAAATTGGTGACCTCGGAGGGGTTCCTTCAACTTCGGAAACAGATCTAAGTCACAAGAACTCATGTCAGGTGAGTAGGGAGGGTGTTCCAGGATTTCCCACTGCCACCGTCGCAAAAGGAGAGTGACATTGTTTGCGACATGGCAACGAATGTTGTCATGCAATACGATAGGGAGATTGTTGTGCAGTAAACGTGGCCATTTGTGCCGCATAGCCAGACACAGATAGTGCTGTAGAAATCGGCAATAAAGTAAAAGTCCAGAAATCCGCAAAGCTTGGGATCAGAGGTTGTGCGGATTTTAGGATTTTACGGATTTCAGGACAGAAAAGATAAAGCATAATATTCGGACTAAAAGTGCAAAATATAAGCCGTATTAGATACATTTAATTAAATTATTACATACATTATTGCAATAATTTATTGTATTCATTAAATATAAAAAAATGTTAGGATTAGCACCATTTAAATAGCTTTTAAACTGTTGATCATCCTACAGCTACTGCATGCAGATTAACTAAAGGCATAAAAACCTTAACCGGCAGGCAAGAGCAACATAATTTAATCACTTTTAAAGAAAAAATGCACAATTTACCAACATAAGGGGGGGGAAAAAAAAAAAAAACTGAGCTTGCCAAGCCAGGTAATAGAGTTGGTATATATACAGGATGCATATATGCATATGGTATATATATTGTAAGGATCTTAAGTTTTACTAACGTTTATTTTATTTTAAATCTTTACTATCACTTCTTATTTTCTACTTCCGGCCAGAATTATAAGCGTGAAGGAGTTTATGCAAAGTTGTCTGGCGAACGCCAAGTATTTAAGTGTGGCCTTTTTGCCAAGCAGAAGAGAGGAAGCCGTGAGTTCGAAGCAGGCCGCTTACCTTAGAAGTTACGCAGTTGCTACTTTGCCTTCCAGGCCAGAGGTTTTAATCCTCTTGATAAATTAAACGTATTGTAGTGTTCACAGTCTCTGTGCTACATACGCTTTCTGTTATTATAAGGCCAATCTTATTCTAAAGTTAAATTAGAGTTTAGTTTTATTTTGATATCTTTTAAGTTAGACCCCGAGTGGAGGGTCATTGTATTCCGAAGTACGGAAGTCATTGTATATAAAGAAAAAAATAAAGGGTTTTGTATACCCTTCGTCTGTATCCTGTCTACTTACTACAATTAGTGAACATAGCTTTAGTAAGCTCTCTGTTCTAGTCAGGTCATTGTATGTTTCCGAAGAAGGTTAGAAGAAACATTGAACCTGATAGTGGCGCCCGACGAAGAATAACCATGGCCG